ACTCAGACTAAAACCACTTCTAAATTGCAATAAGTACTCAGAGAAATGCAAATTAGCCGTGAAAGTAGACTTTCGCTCAGTGCGGTGCAGAAAAGGAGCTTCAATGTTGGGTCAACAAACTTTAATGTTTTTATAGCTGACACCGTTGACCGTAGATGGGATAAAAAGAGCGTTCACCAAGAAGACGCTTCTTCTTGCTTGTTTTGTTCATCCGCGAAGTGCACAGAAAGACTCCTGGCTCTGGCTTCAGCAGCAGCAATTAAATTTCTTTGACTAAGACGGCGGTGTCAATATCGAAATTTTAGTAGTTTCTTTTAAATAAAAGCAAACAGATACATAAACGTGAGTTCGTAAACATAACTACTGAATTGGTAAAGCTACTGAATTGGTAACTACTTATATTAACTTCTCCTGAACGGTGCAAATTTAAAAGTGGGAATCAAACTGAAGGCATACAACGGCATGATTGAGAGACATAGGTAAGCAAGATTCAGGGATTCAACAGTAACTGAATCTCGGTTGCACGGGGTAAAACTCACGTAGCTTTAATAATCACGTGTATCTATACCATAGTGTCGGAAGCGATAGGTAGCTTTAATAGTAATCTAACGTCTCCGGCTCCTGGGACCTTAAACAGTGAACAGGGAAAGGCGTGTGATCTGCGACCTGTAATACCACTCACGTAGCTTTAACAGTCACTTGTATTATATCGTGTCGATTACTGACGGTGATTCCATTGCGTCTGTGGTTCCATTTGATATTCGATCCAAGTTATCCTCAGCTAACACGTCAAGAGAAATCGGAAGTGACAGGCTCTCGCCAAATAAATTTCTTGTGTGAGCCTTGGTGACGGCTGAGTTCAACCCTAGCTATACACGAACCAAAAGAAAGGATCATTACACTGTATCGCACTAAATGACCGACAATCTTCAACGATTCATGCTGTGCAGGCATGGATTGATTTTATTAAGATTTTGAATTTGTGCATTAATATTAATAGCAAGAGAAAAAACTCAAAAGTTTAAAAGTTATAATAATTTATTTATAGTTAATGTAATTTTTATGTTATTTTTTGAAGGTAGTTCAATTCCAACTTTATTATTAATTTTAGGATGAGGATATCAACCTGAGCGTTTACAAGCTGGAATTTATTTATTATTTTTTACTTGAAATACTTAGTTATGATTTTTTTTGATTAGTTTTAGGAATAATTATATTGAAAAACGAAATTGCAACTCATAATTAGTTGCTCTTATACTATAAATTTTTAGAATCATATTAGTTTTTAACGACTTACTTATTTGTCACCGAGTTTTTCGTAATAAACGAATATAGGTGCAATAAACAAATCGAATGTCGGTGTTTATGAGTATCACGTGACCATAGTATAATAATTATAAGTGCTGTCAGCTGTTTGTATGAATCAAGTGGAGTCGAATATACGAAAAAGAGAATCAGAATGCATATAAATGAAACGCAGTGAATGATTCGACTATGATTCGAGTGTTGAGTAGTCATTGCAGTTCCCTGATACACAATATCTTTATTTACAAACCCAAACAATTTACATCCAATACAAATGTAAACACAATTTTATCTTTTTCTTATGCCAACGAAACAACAACAATGTAGATCGAAAACATTTCCAAATCATTTTGGCCGATAGACTCTAAAATGCACTTAGTGAAAAGATCGTTAAAAAGTTCACGAATATAGTGAAAATAACATTAACGCGCACATTAAAAATTTTAGAGGTGTCGGGAACAGTACACTATTTTAGTGTTCCGGACACGTCACTTTTATTTTTAGTGTACTGTTTGTGGTTGTATGCATGCACACAACATTTAAAATATTTGATGTGTTTTGGACAGAGACCGAAAATAACAGTTATTTCAAATATCCATATTTAAGTATACAATTATCATTCCAACACTTTTATCCTTAATATTACGCATCCTTTTTATATAACATCCTTTTAGAATAACACTCAAAAATAATAATTAAATTCGTTTTATATTAGGGGTATTCACGATGTCTGTGCATCATTGCATGTGCAAAATTATTTGATTTTACAACAACAATTGCCTTATTTATAATTCTGCACTTGATTTGCAAGACAATATTCAAGACCATATTTTCAACACCAAGTACCTCTTGCATATTTAATTTTCAAGACTCTGTTGTGAATAATACTACTTTTTTTACTGTCCGCTGGGCAATACTTTAGCGAAACTATTAAGTTTTTTTTGATTTTGTAATTTTGTGCAATTATTTGATTTTGTATTTATCTTACGTTCAACAATGTCGGAGCTACTGGCTAAAAATATTCGGAAATGTGGCAACAAAAAGTGGACCAATGATGAGGTTAATCTCATTTTAGATTTCCTTGAGGAAACAGAAGGTTTTGAGGTATATATGTTATATATTTGTCAACTTGGAATATGTTGCGGTTTGAAGTACGCCATTTAGGACAAATTTTCAGGAAAGCAAGTGAGTGGTGTACCTCAACAGGCTCAGGTCTTGAAGAAAATGATGTGTGTATAACTATTAAAGGTTGTTCAAAATACTTCTAACTTATTACAAATAAAACGCTATTATATATTTGTTTATAGTGCACAAGCGACTATAGAAAGGGCATATAGTCGCTTGTGCACTATTTTTGAACCAGGAAGAGTTATATCTTCCAACATGCATATATGTATAATATGCAGTTTTGACTGTGGGGAGTCATATGGTAGTAAAAACATGGAAATAAAAGTAGAAATTCCAAAGACAGATACGGAAAAATACGAAGAACTGTCACAACCTTCATCTAAAAGAAATACTTTCACCAAAAAAATAAATAAAAGAATTCTGAAATCAGCTATTACTCAATTCCAAGTAATCCAAGTAAACAGAGATGTTCCCAAAAAGCAAAAACTTGAGCTGGAAATTCAAAAACTTGACTTTGATAAATATAAGTTCGAGAAAGAAGTTGAGTTAAAAAAAAAAAAGAATTAGAATTAATGGAAAAAGAGATTGAGAGCAGTGTAAATATAAAAATGGCAGAATTACAATCGAAGGAACATTTGGCGAAGTACGAGCTAGTTTTTTATGTCATTACGTTATTAATTACTGTATGTATATATATTATAAATATTATTATTATTAAGTATATATTAAGACATTACTTTAAGTATTATAGTTTTATATCTTTTCTTTTTCTATTTCCTTAATTATTACAAATATTTATATTTGACCATTAAATATTAATGAAAATACTTCTTGCCGTTTAATGTCACCATTTCTTCTAAATGATGCTGATATTTCCGGCACAATAGCATTTTCAGTTGTGGCATTTTCATCTTCTAATAATATATTATATAAAATACAACAAACTAAAATCCATTTGGAGCAATACTTATAGCTGTTTATGTTTTGGAGTCGCATCCGTAGTTCTTTGAGACTTCCAAATCTTTCCTTTAATATGCCAAAGCAGTGCTCAACATATACTCGGTATGTGCTATGTCGCAGATTGAAAGCAAATCGGGAGTCTCTACTCATCTGATGCGCATTTTTTCTCTATGGAGTTAATACATATTCTGATAAAGGATATGCTGAATCATCCGCAATCTATTCTCCAGGTGAAAAAAAATTTTTTTTATGTTTATAAATTGAGCTGTTACGATATATTTTTGCATCATGCCAACTGCCTGAATGACCTACTACAACATGTCGAACTCGCAGCTTATGATCACAGACGATTTGATTATTAACTGGACTTTCAGCTAATTTTATTTCCGTACCATCTATATAACCAACGCAGAAAGATAGCTCGTGCATAGTTGCTGCAACAAGATATAATTACTGCAAAAAGATATAATTAGGTTGTAATTTCAAAATAGCCTTAAAGGTCTTGCGTGTTATATTCATTATCGTTCCATCATCTCCTATTCCAAAAATTTCTGCTGCAACTTGTAGTTCTACAAAAAATTGTTTAGATGAATATGACTTAGTAAATTCTTCATCGTTAGCTAAAAGGTCAACAATTTTGTGGAATTATAAGCGCTCAACTCGTAGCATTTGACGAAATCTATTGTCATCAATAGTCGTGAGGACATCAGTGAACCATTCAACAGATTTTGGAACTTTTGATGAAATTCCACGACTGCACATGAGCACAGTGGAAATGTCTTCTTCTAAATCATCCAAAATGTCACTCATTGCATCGTCATCATCACTATCAATTTCTGAAATTTATATGAATATAAATGTACTGCTATATTAAACATATAAATGCACCAATCTAAATTACCCATTAATTCCGCAACAGCAAAATCCAGCACAGTATTCAATATATTCTGCTTTTCACTTTTTGTGGCAATGTTAAATACTTAATTAAAAATCAGCTATTCTAAATATTTTCAAGATCAATATGCACAAAATGCGTTCACGATTGTTTGAGTTTGCAATGATACACATTCAACGATGCACAGACATCGTGAACACCCCTATTATATTCCTCAAAAATAATTATTTTATGTGCCTTTTATACATTTTCCAACTCTGTAATACATTTTCTATGGAATTACAAAAACAACTACCTTGTATGAAGAATGAACATGAACAGTTATTTTCAAAAGTAACAGTTAACAGTTATTTTTGCGTTTTCAAATAAATAGCAGAGTGTAAGAGTTATTTCTGCGCGAAAAAATAAAATTCACATAAAATAAATCTTTTTGGTGAATATAATATAAAGCAAATTTAGTTGTTATTTTTTGAGTTTTATTTTAAAATGCGAATGACATTAGTTAAAAGGTGATTTTTATTTTTTTTATGATAACTGTTACGGTCTCTGGTTTCGGACTCTATTTAGTGTTTTGTTTAATTCGATTTTCGAACACAAATACAAAACAGTACATTATGTTGGGTACTTTACAGTTTATTGTCGTTCACGGAATAAATGTGAATGATGAGATTATCAATCAAAAATTTATTAGTGTTTAGTTTTCTAAGTTTTGATTTACTTGTTTTCTTACTACACAGATATAACTTAGTGCTTTAAATATAAAATCTAATATTGCTGAAATTTCTGTGTTTGAGGGATGTGGCTTAATAAGTTTTAAGAAAGTTAATTAAAATTGAGGAAATCTTTTTATTTTTATTTTGGCGCCCTATATGTCTCTTATAATAGTTTTTGGTTTATACAAATTTAAATTCTGAATGTGTACACTTTCTGGGAACTCCCACAGTAAGTCGCAGCCACTTGCCTCGACATGAAGGTGTAGGTAGTGCGCTCCATCTAGTTATTCGACCTGGAAGGCCCTCTCCGCGACAACGATGGATCAGTTTGCTTGCTGGCGTTGTTGTAGTTGTCACCTTGGTTGTGTTTGGTGCTTTGATCGATTTAGTCACTTTATCATAACTTTTGTTTTCACCACCTTCTTCATCATTAATTAAATTCGCTTCGTCGACCCCTTCTTTATAGGCTGTCGCGAAAATATTCCGCATATATGTTCTCCATTTGCTACTGTTGGACAAGTTAATTTCATCTGCTGTTAAGGTATATTTTTGACTGGTACTAAGCGGCATTATATTTATTCTTGTATCATATTTTACTGTTTCCAGATTACAACGAACGCTTATACGGTCTCCTGTACAAAGAAATAGGAAAAATATGAAGTTATAATTACGAACTAAGATTTTAATGTGATTAAATTTTTTTAATTAATTGGTGTTATTATATTAAAAAAATTGTAATACTGCTATTTAGTTTTGTAGTTTAAGATAGCTTACATGTTTTGGGTATTTCTTTAAACAGATACCGTATAGAATTTTATAACATAAGGACCAAAGCTATTCACTCCTATTAAGAGTATTCCCAAGGAATGAACTTCTTCCAAAATGCACTTCACTCAAGAATGAATTGCTTGGGAGACAGCTGTTGTGGAACAACAAAAAATTGAAATTTGTTTTGTTGAACTTTGGTAACATTTTACGTATTTATTTATTTTATCCACACAGATGTTTTATAAAACTTTAGGTGTTAATTTCAAATACTTATTACAATAAAATATATGGAGAAATTAAAATTACGGAAAATTGATGGCAAAATTGCTTTTGATTTCTTTTTGTTCCCAGATTTTAGGGGAAGTGCTGTCTCTCAAGCAATTCAGAATAGGAGAAACTTATTCTCTGGAAATACTTTTGAAAAAACCAAACCGAAGAAATTGTTAAATTAGTTAAATAGTTTCTGCAGAAATTCCAGATTCATATGTCGACAATGAACTATTTGAAATTGTGACATAAAACATGATACATGCTCCATGCGGAAATTTAAATATGATGTCACCTTGCATGGAAAATGGTAAATGCACAAAAGGATTACCAAAAGATTTTGTGAGAGATACGATAACTGGAATTAATGCCTATCTTAAATATCGTCAAAAAAATTCGGAAAATGATGGCTAATCATTTTTACTAAAGTTGAGAAATATTGAATATGGAGCTGAAATAGACAATAGATAGATAGTGCCATTGTCATCCAAAATATATAAGGCGTACATCATGTAGAACTTTAGGGTTCTGTGACATCAATAAAACACATTTGCAAATATGTTTACAAAGATAGTGATATGGCAGTATTTCCAGTTTGTAAATTTAAATAAAAATGATGAAATAACACGCTACCAAATAGGCATATACATTAACAGTAACGAAGCCATTTGGTGAATTTTAGGTCTTCAAACACACTAACGAGATCCATTTGTAAAGTATTTGAGTATACAAAGAACAAAATGCAATAGAAAGGGCATTAATAGCACCAAAAACCACATTAACCGAGTTCTTTGAATTGAATAAACAACAAAATATTTTTGACCATTACGCAAAAATGTATCCAGAAGTTCTAACATATTTTGCATAGAATTAAACTTTAAATAAATGGCAATTACTTAAGCGAGGTTTGTTATGTCAGCAAACACCCTGAATCCTTTATATATTGTTCATTCAAAACAATGAGAGCGTTTATTTTTAAGACTGCTTTTGGTAAATATACGTGGACCAACATCGTATGAGTATCTGAGAACCGAAAATGGTCAGCTAAACAATACATATCATGATGCATGCAGAGAATTGCGATTACTGGAAAGCTATGAATATTGGGATCAAATTCGTCAATTATTCGCCAAATTGTTGACAACCAGTTTCCGAAATAATTCCAATGAATTGTGGGAAAATTACAAAGACTCAATGAGTGAAGATATACTACATAGACATCAATGACGACGCGTGCCCTATCTGGAAGGGTGTGCGGCCGCTCTAAAAATTTTTTTGTACATATATGCTTAAATTAAAAATGATAAATTAAAATAGATAAGATGTTTTATTAATAATAACTGCATTACATTAGGCAACAATATATTCACAATATAACATTTAATAATTCATTAACAAAATAACATATTAAACAAATTAAATTAATAATTTATGTATAAGTTTAATATTATATCAATATGTGGAGTAAATACAACTTTTTACATATGTATATCTTATAACATCAAACCAACTTTTTTCACAATCGAACACACTTGCAATGTATAAATGTACGGCCAGCTACTCCGCTCACAAAGCGATTATTATTCGCTGGAGCAACAGCTAAAAGGGGAGAGACGAAATTTGAAAGAAATGTATGGTGATGTGAGCTGCAAACTTTAGCCGCACATCTAACCGCTTCGGCAAGGCAACATGTTGAATTGTTATACATGTAGTTGATATTCGAATAGAACAGAAAATACTCTCATACAATTCCCAATCTCTATTTCTCATATTTTAACCTAGAGCACAATCACATTATTTTGTTCATTCTACTTTTGTGCACACTTAGACTAAAATTTTTGAATGCAATTGCTTAAAGGGGACAGACGAAATATGATAGAAATGTTTTAAGATGTGAGCTGCAAACTTATGAGCACAACTAACGACTATAATAGCTAAGAGAAACAAATTAAATGAGTTTTCATAGACAATTATATTTAATTGTTTTTGCTAAAACTTAATCTTTAAAAATATATATATGAAAATGTAATAAACTATATTAATTCTTAATGTAAAGATATTTAATAAATTTATATATATTATATTTGACCATTTGCAAATTATATTAGGGTGTGCGCCGCAGACCTCCGCACCTTACAGTAGTCGTCACTGATAGACATAGAACAACACATCATGACTCAAATATACAATTCAAAGCTAAAATTTTAAATGAAACACCATCAAAAGGTCATTTGTGACCGGGTTTCGAATACTATTGTGGCAAAAGAGGGCGGCTTTTTGTTTTTGGATGCACCAGGTGGAACCGCAAAAACTTTCTTTCTTAATTTCAGTCATTCTTGTTAAGGTTAGAATACAAGGTAATATCGCTTTAACAATTACATCATCTGGAATCGCTGTAACATTGTTAGATGATAGAACAGCCCTTTAGTTGCTACTTAATATATATTCATGTGGAAAATGCAGTATACCATATAAAAAACATACAAATATATCTAAGGTACTTCAAAATTATAATATTATTGTATGTGATGAATTCACAATTTTTTTTTTTATTTTTTTTATTTTTTTTTTTTTTGCGGAGGGGAGGTTTAAAAATGTCGAACGCATCGTCACTATAGTAGCCTGCGTCCAGGCCTCGCTTAGGTTTATTTGTTCCTCTCTTTTTTAAAATAATATTTTTTCCGTTTGAGTATGATCGTAACAAATCGGTCTATGGTGGTCCATTTTTTTTCAGATAGCATCTATTTCGTTATATGATTTTCGATGTTTATTTTACCGACTATTGTTTTGATATTATTGCGGTGTTCCATCTGTTGGATTTGAAGATGATGTGCTCAGCGTTGTTTTCGTCTGCATCTCCGTCTATGCATTTTGGATCATTTGCTTCGCCAATGCCTAAAAGATATTTTTGAAAATATCCATGACTAGAGAGGAAAATAATCGTTTACTTCGCCAGTTTTCCTGTTTGGCCATTTCGTTGTATTTTAATCCTGCTTATTTTACCACCGTATTTTCCTTTCTTTGGCAGCTTATCTATATGTAATGTGTTACTCATGACCAGCACCGCTGACTCAGATACCATACGGTATGCTGAAGCAACTGAAGCTGTCGTTCGTTGCACTGCTGCTAATGTCTCACGTTTCTGTTCTACTTTCAGCGAATCGGCCCATATTTCGCATCCGTAGAGTAGGACAGAGTAAGTTGTTGACATTAGCAATTTTTATTTGGTCTGTCTTGGGTCGCCAACGTTTGCTATTAATCTACTCAGTGATGCAGAAGCTTGTGCAGCTTTGCTTGCAGCTTATTGGATTTGTCCACAGAGCGATAACTTGGAGTCCAAGTGCAGTCCTAAGTATTTTATTTCTTTTTTCGTGTAAAATCTATCTTCACATATGTTCATCTTGTCATCAGAAGTATCTTTGTTTTCTCTGTTACAAGTTTTAGGGCATGATCATAGAGCCGGGTCATTGTCTCCACCATAACTTGACTTAATTTGTGACGCGCTTTATCTTATTTTCGTGCCGTTTTCATTGCGACTATATCGTCAGTAAAAGCTACTAAGTGTGAATCATCTGTCATTTCTATATCTAGGAATCTGTTGTAATTTAGATTCCAAAGATCATGTCTACGTATGGATCCCTAGGCGGCTCCTGATGTTACTTGAATTATCTTTTCACCATCACGTGTCTTGTAGATAAGTTCTGTGTCATTTAAGTAGCTTTGAAACATTTTCATTAGATACGCTGGTACTCGAAAGCTACGTTTGTGTACATAAATTATATCATTCCAGTTGACACTATTGAAGGCATTTCGGACATCGTGAGTCGCTAGCAGAACCATACGTTTGGAGTGATGATTACCAATCTGCACTGATTTTACGGTGCTAATAACGTTTTGAATGGCTCCTGATGTAGATCGACCTGACCTGAAACCGTGTTGACATGTCGACAGCCCACCAGCTTCGTCTGTGACAATTCCAAGCCTCCTCTTTATCAAGCGTTCTCACAACTTTCCTTCAGTGTCCAACATGTCGATTTATGGGATGAATGTACAATGTCACATAAGCATTGTCACATAAGCATCATTTAAAAAGTAGTGCCTATAAAGATTTGAAGTAATATGAAAATATTTAAAACATATGTAGTGCATATAAATTTTTGTAGTTCAAAACAAAAAATAAATTCAGAATGAAGTTTGATTTGGCAAACCTAGTGAATTATGTCAAATAAGTGGGCGCGCGGAAACATTTACAGATAAATTTGAGTTATATTGTAAAAAACTGGTTACAACGTTTGTGTTGTTACAACGCCGTCGAATGTGACCCTAAAAGTGAATAATAATACAATTTTATACGATTGAGACTTCTGCAGCCAAAGTAGAGTTGTATTTAAAAACAGTGATAACCAAATGTAAATAAAAGTGCAGGCAATTAGTGGAACGTTAAGCGAATTATACTTAGTAAAAAGCTTGATCAAAACTTATAGTAAAGACACTCAGTATAAATCTCGGAGTGGTTTGTGTCCGTGCTAACGAATTTTAATTTTTAAAAATTATAGGACTGATATATACATATATATATTTTTTTTTGCAGACTTCT